TGTTTAGCTCCCAAGCCACCCAAATAACTTTCATGTTCCTGACTCCTGAGGTGTTAAGAATCTACCCGTGATGGCGAGAGTGCACGTTAACAATTATTCACCAAAGTGGAGGTGATTAAGGGTGGATATTTACCGAGTCGCGAAATGGTAAGGTAAATATCCACCTCTTTCATCGACAATGAGGAGAATAATTGTTTAAGTATCTACCGCACAAATACAAAAAAATTGGTTTATTTCTCTCAATATATATATATATATATGCTGTAGATACAAAATACTAGGAAGAAAATTAATTATCGACGCGCGATTTTTTCTCTTCGGTTGCTCGGAAGTGAATAGTATGTACTCATTGACTGAGTGTGTGGAGGCGCGGTGGCCTCATGGTTAATGCGCTCGACTCCGGATCGAGTGGTCCAGTTGGAGCCCCGGCCGGGACATTGTGTTGTGTTCTTAGGCAAGACACTTTACTCTCACAGTGCCTCTCTTCACCCAGGTGTATAAATGGGTACTGGCAAATTAATGTTGAGGGGTAACCCTGCGATGGACTAGCATCCCATCCAGGGAGGAGTAGAAATACTCTTAGTCGCTTCATGCTACAGAAACCAGAGTTGAGCACCGGCCTAATGGGCCACTTATCTCGTGAACAGACTTTACCTTTACCTTTACCATATTGACTGAGTGGGAGGGTCGAAAATTTTGGCCCGAGGTCATGACGTACAGGCGCATCGAGGTCCGCGCCTCATGACCGAGGGCCAAATATTTTTCCATCTAACCCGACCAAACTCAGTTAATAACCATACATTTTATCCTATGATCATTTAGTGTTGACAACATAACCTGAATAGAACGCGGTAGACGGGCGCACGCATCCACATGCGCAAGAAAAAAATTAATGTAATTGAAACTTTTCCTCCATTTTGTCAAGTCACAACAAGAAACTCCCAATTCCTTACAAATAGCGCGCGCGTGCGCTGTAAAAGTTACGTCTTCCTTTTGGGCTCGCGCGATTTTGTTATCTTTTGAAAATGTACTAAGTGCACTCGAAATTATGTTATTGCCTTCACATATACTAATTCCACTTGTTTTATAATTCCCTAGTGCATGCTGCGTTAACACGCAACTATACAGATTCTTACCCTGAATTAAAAGACTTAATTATAAAAGAGTTACTAAAAATCGTGAGCTCACCAGCATCTTGAGATACCAAGACTGCAGCCAAAGCAACTGCACCAACTAACGGGGAAGCAAAACAATCGAAGCGTGCACCAAGCCATCTACCACAGGCCATTACCATAATGTATGCCTAATCATGAACATCTTGATATCTGCAGGGACGAGTGTTTATTACAGTTAGTTTTCAAAATGGAGTGATTTTTCAGTTGGCATTAGCTTTGTATTACTTTGCTCTGGGATTGGTCCAAAAACTTCGAGCATACCTTTAAAAATATTCGAAATGAAAACAAAACCAACCACTGTATTGGTCCTTCGTGATTTCCTGCATGGTTTTTATTTTGAGGTCTCTTTCAGTCGAGCTCTTTTCTTTTGTTCTGATTAGCTTGTTGGGATTGAATTGCTTTTTTTTGCGAAAATTACTCCAAAACATTCTTAGGAGATCACATCGGGTGTCAGACTAGTGTCTCCTTTCGCCTGACAGTATAATGGAGCCCTTTGAAAAATTCCGCCTTACTCCCAACCTCCACTCCCTCAAAAAGGGTGCTTCTCCTAGAGAAAGCTTTATACAGTCGAACATGTGTTTAGCGGTCACCCAAGGGGAATGGCGGCACACACTGAGTCAATGTCTCTAACGTACCTGTAAAGTGTATCCAAAAAGTCAGACTGTCTTCCTCTTGTACGAATCGTGTCCAGTCCTACCAGAGTATCCGAAAAATGAGCAAACATCGGGCTTCGGGATTTCGACTCTAACCTCTTCAGTTCTCTAGAAATCCTCAAGTAATAAATGGAAAGAAAAACGACCAGCACAGAAATTGGATCAACGAGAAACACGAACCAAACATTTGTAGGAACTGTTACCAGAATTTAATTGGGTAAATATCACCAAGAGCAGCTGCATTGCCGCCAGGAATGTTTTAGGTAACAACTCATCCACGCAGCCAATATCATTCGAGAAGCGATCTAGGATTCTTCCCACGGGATTTGAATCAAAGGACAGGGCAGGTGCTTGTAGAATGGCCACAACCATTTTATCGTGGAGACGCTCGGCGCACTTTAGAGAAAGTAGGAGGAATCCATAAGCCCGAATGATAGTAAATATAAAACAGGCGTCAACCAGACAGGCGAAGACAGATAAATAAGTCTTGTTCTTTTGATCCTTTGACATT